TTCGAACCCCCACGCACGGAACAAGTATTTGTATGGCCTACAAATAGTTGTTCCGGGTCTGAATGTTTGTCCTTGTGCAATTTATGTTTGTAAACTGCCCCTACGAAACAAGAGAAAATCTTAGTGTAGGGGTAACGTTTTTTTAAAAAAAAAAAGAAAGAATAAGAATAGTGGGCCGGCCATATAGCTCAAAGAACCGACAACCGATGGGGAAAAAGGTTCTCGAGTGGCAGCCTCGTACCGGTAGGCGAAGTGTAGGGTGAGCCCCCACTAAATGGAGTCACGACCTGGTAAGACATGCAAGAAGTCAATGGATGCAGGTGGCTCAGGACCGTGCTTTGTGGCATTCTTTGGGGGAGGGCTATGTTCAAATTCAAAAATTCTAAATTCATTTATTATTATTAACGAGATCTTATGTTCTACCATGATCAGTAGTGGACTTGTGAAGGGCTGTAATAATGATGATGATTGACAACTTTGGACATTTTCTGAGATTTTGTTGTAAAAGCGTGCACACAAATCTCATCTGAATTTTATCATATTATCAATCTATGACGGGATTAAATTTTGATGTTATTTTTAATTAATAAAATGATATCATCAAATATTCATAACACATGTTAGAGTCATGCCGTATCTGTAGAGTTGGCTTGATTGAAGTTACGCTCTTACAGAACACCAATGGTAAAAAGCAGTGTTTTCATAAAGTTTAAGTGACAAACAAATCTGATGGCAAATGGACACAGCAGCCCATGGACACCTGTAACCAGCTCGGACTGTACACCACCTGTAACAGATTCTTAGTCCTCAGGGGTGACAATGCTTCTGCATAGACATCAATTCTTAATCGAGGATAGGTCTAGGTCTATGGACTAGAGCATTTATTTGCCATCGGGTAGACTGTGTGCTCGTTTGTCGTTGCACATTGCCCCATAAATTAATTACTAATCCAGTGAGTAAATTGGTGTTATAATCTTGTGTTTATTCATCATCTTTATTCATATGAAAGCTATTTATGTTTTTATGTGCATACATTAAATTTTCATAAAAATATTGTGATTTCATAGTTAATATGTCTATTTTTTTAAACTTTTCTCTATAGGACTCTTTACAATTGAAGTTATAAATCGCCCATATGGCTCATTTTTGCAAAACAAACATGGCTTCAATGTCAGTCCCATTACCCCATAGCAAAATTCTATAGCAATAATCTAGTCAAAACAAACACACCAAACAATTCAGGGAACCAAACCAGGAGATGGAGCATATTTTTAGTAACAACTACATAATTAATAAACTGTGGCCCATAGACCAGATCTATCCTAGTTTAAGAATCAAAATTCAGATGCGTTATCACCTCTGAGGACTAAGATGAAATGCCTCATTTTCAGTAAAAAGGGTCTCCAGTTCCATACACTCAACATACAAAACATAGCAGCATTAAACTGTTATTTCACACAGGTATTGAGAGTGTGGTCCATCCCTGGCCGAACTGACTTATTCCTGCTACTATTATTTGGCTGCAGCGTGGCTCTACCACATGAAAACACTTAATGCAAAAAATCCAAAAATCATAGTATCATACTTTTTTAATTTGGAATAACATGATCTCTTCTTTAGAATTACTGGTGTTTATTTTTTTTTTTTTTTTTTTTTATAGAAGAGGGGGCAAACGAGCATGTGGCTCACCTGATGTTAAGTGACTACCGCCGCCCATGATCAACTGCAACACCAGGGGAATTGCAGACGCGTTGCCGGCCCTTTAGAAAGGAGTAAGCTCTTTTCTTGAAGGTCCCCAGGTCGTATCGGTCCGGAAAAATCGCTGGTGGTAAATTATTCCACAGAGAGGTTGTACGCGGAAGAAAACTCCTTTTGAAACGTACAGTGGTGGACCGCCAAGCATCCAGATGGTGTGGATGGTATCGGGACGTTTGCCGCGTAGTGCGTTCACGAAATTTGGCGGCTGGGATTAATCCAAACAATTTATTTTGAAAATGTTATTTAAGCAATCTAAATATCATAAAGATAATATTATTTATTATTCATGCCATTGGCCTCTTTGAGGGAAATCTTGGCTAGAAAGATTAGCCCTAATTTAAATCATTGAAAAATCATCACTCAGTGAAATATTGGCAAAGGAAATATAAACATATTATTAACTGCCAGCATAAATATTATTTCTTAAAATTGGAAACAAACAAACAGAAATGATCAACAGCAGATTTATATTTCTATAGATTTTATATTATGATATAGTGGCCATTATCACTTTACCATGTGGTGACAACACAGGAAAAACCATCACCTCATTTAAGCAATTCTCTTATAGAATTAGGGTGACAAACAAGCACACAGTCCACCTGATGGTAAGTGGATGCTGTGGCCCATAGAAATCTACATTTATCCTCGATTAAGAATCAAAACGCAGATGCGTTGTCACACCTGAGGACTAAGATGGAATGCCTCGATTCCAGTAAAAAGGGTCTCCGGATCTCTACACTCACCATACAAAACACAGCAGCATTGAGTTGCTATTTTACGCTGGTATTCTACGAGAGTGGTCCTTCTCTGGCCGAGCCGACCTATTGTGCTATAATATATCGCTGCAGTGTGACTCTACCACATAAAAACAGTTGTCAGAGCCACACTGTATCATAGCTGCAGCATGAATGGGTTTGCTAGACAAGATAAGGGCCACATTTTTCACAATTACCACCATTAAAAACACCATAGTAATGCTGCTACATTTAGTAGTTATTAAAAAGAACTTGAGACCCTTTTTACAGATAATTAAGCATTAAAACTTAATCTTTAGGGATGACAACTCATGATGACTGCTTGACCAATTTTGATGAATATTTTTGTGTTTGTTTGAGTTGGAAGGTTTAGATTCACAATTGGACCCGGTAGGTAGCCCTGTTGTCGAGATCCAAAAATCACCTGTGCAAAGGCAGGGCCAATCACTAATATTGCATGTATTTTATACCGTGTGTGGATTCATTGGTTCTTTGATAATTAGTTTCTTTCATTAATTTACATACAAAATGGCCTTCTGTGGCATTAATTTTAAATGAGTATTTTAATAAACTGTAAGCAGATAACTGCATATACAAAATATTAGATAAGATAAGAATAAGATAATAAACAAACACTTGCATATCTTAAGACAACAGTGTACAACCAGTGCCTGTTGCCAGCGATGACTTACAGAACTGAAGCTATTCCTTTACTACTGGCATACAGCCACCTCAAAGTGCGCATACAATGGAAAAGGCTATGCTCAGAATTTCTCTGCTGGATTAAATGTGCAACAAGAAAATCTGTAGAAGCACAAGAGTAACCAGCACAGCCTAATGGATCAGTAAGCTGAAGTGGCAATAGGCTGGCTATATAGGTTGAAAAACCATCAACCGAAAGACTTGAACTTGAACATGTTCGCAGACTGCAGACATGTTCAAGATCGTCCCCACCATTACATTCGTTTTGATAAACCACAAATTCTGGCAAAAGAACACCGATTCCTACCAAGGATGATATGCGAGGCTATTGAAATTAAAAAACATCCAAATTTCAATAGAGAAGATGGATGGCTACTGCCATTTGCTTGGGATCCTATAATTAACAAAACTAAACCCAAACCCAAGCATACCACTTCTTCATGATACTATAAGCTTGTTTTAACTAACTATGACATTGGGACGTCAAAAATTTCAGTTCCTCCCGTGACCATGGTGCTATAAAGCACCCGAAACATCGGGATAATAAAAATAAATTATAGTTGTAATTAAAACGCAATAAAATCCGTAAATAATAGTTTTATTCAAATTTGAGTAGTCAACAAATAAGTATACAAGATGTAATCATGGTGGTCTTAGTACTTTTTTCCATATTCAACGAAGAAACATAATAAAGGTACCACCTCAGTAAACTACTGTGGAATGCTTCGTTACCACTTTTGTGTTAAAAAAAAAAAACAAATCAATAAAACGGTGGTATGATCTTTAGTAATTTGTAGTAATTGATAAGTAATCAGTATAGGTTAATTGTAATCAACTGTATCATTGTTATTTTTCATGTAAATGGAAATGAGATTCTTATTAGAATGATATTAGATAAAATATATAGGTATCACAACGATGTTCTCTACTGGTGGGAGGTTCATCAAGCAAATACACTAACCATCACATAGTTCTAACATTAATTTGTGTTAATTAAAATGTAGTAGATGTACTTTTTGTTGCGAATGATCCACTGACGCGTTTCGAATATTTTAATTGTACCAAGTAAAACAGCCAATTTTTTATAACTTTATAGCTGATAAAAACAATGTTTTTGATTGTTATTATGGCTTATATGTTTTGTAATATTATATAGCGGAAGTGTGTGAGTGAGCTCTTTGATATTATGTGTAGACATGATGTGCTTTAGTTAACTATCCAATAACAAGTCACTATAATTGAACGTGGGGACATTGTAAGTTTGCCAATTGACAATAATTGTCGTAAAAACATTTTGGAGGTCATCTTACAATTCCCGCCGTTGCGGAAAAGTAACAGTAAAAAATGTACAGGAAAAACAACAAGTTTACGAACGCAATTTCGTACTTTGAGGGAAATTTTGAAGGTATTATACGACCGATTGCAATACTGCTAAAGTTATATACTATATCACAATGTAAACAATGCGTCGTGCAACTGGTTGGTTTCTCTTTATTTTTTATAGCAAAATCTTGCCCCTGTATCTTCAGGAAACAAGTTCTTGACAAGACGTCTAAAACGTAGTAACTAAACTTGGAGTACGTCTAACCGTCCAGGTTAGACGTACTCCGGTGTCTAAAGATGAATGGTAATAACCGGATTACAGCAACAAAATACTTACAGAACACTGGAATGGAATCGTTGCGCGCTTTAAAGCAAAACACATTTCTCTAGATGACAAAAACACACACAAATAAACCACTTAGCCACTGAAATACGCGAGGGAACCTGATAAGTACCCACCTTGGTCTTCGTTATTACATGTGTGGCTAGTTTTACCACAGCGAAATTTCCTGTCCCAATCGTCTTTTCCAGCTCGTAATTGCCAACACATACTAACTGGTCGATCGGGAAGTGCTTGCTTTTGTGTATTGGCTTGATGTTGTTGGCCATTTTCGTGAAAAACCGCGATACCGCCGCTCGGCCTCACATACACCACGGCCGATTTTTGACTACTGTCATTAGTTTAGGCATGCAGCCACTTTAGCGCTACTGTCGCTCACGTCATTCGCTAAGAAAAGGAGGTTCAATTGTGGCCTTCGACTTTTCATTAATAAGTACAAATTATTTATTTTAAATAACTACAACTCCCATAATAAGGTAATTTAAGTTCAATTATTTATTTTCAAATTCATAATAGCGCCAGATATAAAATATAATATTGTGTTGGGATTAAGTTGCTATCAGTAATTCTGATATCAATGCACAGAGCTTAAATTGAACATCACTTGCTTGAGAAAAAAGAACCCAATTCACAACCTTTACACGACTATTGCTAATCACTCGCACCGCAATGTTTATCTTGTGCCAGAACGAGAAGCACTAATTGAAGAAGGGGCAATGACGTCAGACGTCAGCGTTGACGTCACACGCGGCAATTTCAAATGAGATGTACGTCAGACGAAAATATCGATTTTTTGTTCAGAAGAGGGTTGTTATAGGTTTTGGATTAAAACAACTAAGAATAATATAAATCGCTTATTATTTTATTAATTTAAACAATAAATATTAGTTAGTAATTAAATCATATACGAAATATATAGTAATTCGGTTTATCGTTCTTATTTTGTATATAGTAGTAACGAAACAACTTTTTATTTCCTTTGCATAAAATAAAAATTAGTATTTTGTTACACATTTGCCTTTGCAGTATTCTATTAAAATACCTATAATAAGATATTATGGTGGATAAAAGAAAATATGCGCTAGCTTTTTTAAACCCAACCTCAGCCGATAGAGGAGGCAATATCTGGGCGACGAGACATTTGAAGATAATGTACTTACTATCATTATCATCATCATTACAGCCCCTCAAAAGTCTGCTGCTAAACTTAGACCATCATGGTACATTCCTTTACGGCCTATAAAATTCCACAGCTGAACATAGAACTACCTATTACATCATAGGGAGGATTTTGCCATAGTTGCCACGCTTGGCAAGCTGATTGGCAACCGCAGTTTTATTTTAATTTCAATTGATATCAGGAATATGATAATAATATAGTGAGAACATAATTACTTTAATAGTTCAATGCCTCATAATCAGTGACGTTTAATCGCTTATTATCGCTTATGCATAAATTATCTCTATACCTGTCTTCTTCTGTTTTCATTAAGTGAAGAGAAAAAAAAAGAGAGAGAGGGCATTTTTTCTTAAGTTCATGTCCATTTTTATTAATTTTTACCAGTATTGGTTTCAAGAAGATCTATATTGCTGTCGCGCTTCACCCGAACGACCGAGTTTGACGACTGAGATCTGAGAGTGACAACTGACAACTTTTGGGATATAAAAAATAGGTACTCTATAGTGACAACCGGAGCTCGGACTTAACTCTTTTTTTGCTGGATGTCCTACAGCGATGGTATAACTGGGCATTTTTAATAATTTTAAAAGGAAGAGTCATGCTATATACTGGATGACTTTTTTACCCTCTGGAAAAAAATAAGGTGTTACATGTGAACGGACTAGAAGCCTATGGGACTGAATTTTTACAAAAAATAAAAACAAAATTTTTAATTATTATTATATATTATTAAATTAATTGAAATCTGATTAAAACTACTTTTACGGATTTTATTGCGTTTAATTATTTGGTTTTTAATTCCCGACGTTTCGGGTGCTTTCTAGCACCCATGGTCACGGAGGGTACTAGTTGGCAGTAGTGGTAACGGGATCAGTGCACGCAATTGAGTAAGGGTGAAAGGTTCTCTTCAAACTAGATAAGACACATCATTTTATTTTATTGAGCGGATTTGGGCGAAGTAATTCTTACCAACTTTAACTTACCTTCTTTACCGAGTGGCAAACCTCATTGATACCTTCCTCTGCGGAAACAACGAAGGTTATACCGGAGCAAAAAGCGCAGGTGGTCATCAGCACTGTACACGAAGGGTTCCGGGATCACAGTTTGCAACGGCAACCTACGATTTACTTTAATAAAGGCCCGACCTAAGGGCAGTACTTGCTGCCCCCAGCATACTCGCAGTCGCAGTGCTATCACAATGTCTCAAGACCACTTCCGAGTCATTGTCCTCTTCGGGGTTTGACTAGGTGCCCATACTCTGAATGGCCGCAACCCCAGAAGCCCCAATTCTGGTAGGTGAGCAAACTCTCTATAAGAAGGACCGTGTCGAACACGAACGCATGTATTTTTGAACTGGCTCAGTCCTTTTTCAATCTCGTTCAATAGCCTCATTCTAGACCGTTACGGATTCACAATTGGCAGCTGTTGTCGTTTATGCCGAATATCCACTCAATATCGCTAAGGCGGTAGCTGGCAAGGAAAAGTTTTTTATATAGGATAAGGGTGACAAACGAGTACACAGTCAATTTACCAGGATTGTCTGCTCCCGTTCTCACACTGCACATAACGCGTATGAGACGGAGGATCCTGGTCCAGCTCACAGCAGTGGTAACAGCTTAACTTCGCTTCGCGTCCAATTTTACACAGATAACTCAAACAACCGTGCCCTACAATTATCGGTGTATGTCTGTAGATGAGTCGTCTTACTCATGGCTGCATTCAGACTTCAATGAAGTGAAACGTATTGCTTTCACATGGGTGGTGCACTTCCTCCCTCAGTGTGTACCCACTATTACACTCTCGATCCGGAGGTCAATGCGCTGAAAGTGCTTTTTGAATCCCCAGGAAGTGTCCAGTTGGAGGCTACGAACTGCTCCACTCTGACTTCATATCTTGGGTGGGTCTAAGGTCAGAGTGTATACAAGAGTCATGTGGTTTACAATCCCGTGGTAATTAATGGAACCTAGAATCTCGGCCTTGTGAAGCACTATATCTAATCCCAATCCACAGATTTTGGTGACGACGATTCCCTCCAAAGCTTGGCGAGCTCCTAGGCCCTCTCGAAGGTGTGGCCGCTGGAAAGCAACAGCATGTCATCGGTATAACACAAAATATTATCTACACCAGCGAGAAGGTCGGACACAGGAAGTGGACCTGATCGAACCCCGATAGTTCGACAAAAAAACAACTGTTCAGTGATGTCTCAATGATCGCGAGGGTGAAAACTGGCGGCGATCACCGAATGGTTAGAGGCACACTGAGCCTAAACGTAAAGTTGGAGAGGTCTCATCTAATGAAGTCAACGCTCCGTCCCCCTCGTGCTCTAATCCAAAATCCCGAAACCTTTCAGCTCGAGTTACAAAACCGTTTTCAGTGCCTAGAAAATTGCAATGCAGTGCACGATATGAATGACAAGCTCGTGGAAACTGTCCATGTGGTCGGAGCTAAGTTCTGCAAGACCCGCCGCAGAAGAACACAAAATCTCTCCGATCAGACTCTTAATCTCATGGCTGTTAGACGGGAAATAAAGCTTCAGTCTTTAGCAGATTTGGCAGCATACATGCAACTGAACCGACAGATCTCCAAATACAGGCGACGGGACTTACGCAACTTCAGTACAGCTCGTATTGAAGAAGCGATCGAGCGGAACCAGTCTTTGCCAGGGATCTGTCTGTCAGAAAGAGCCAACTGTCGAAGCTGATGACCAAGTGTGGCAGCATCGTTTCCGGGACACCTGAGATTTTGAGTGAGATTGAGAGGTTATATGGGTAGGTGTATACGTCTTCGTCAGAGCCACACGCAAGTGTGAGTAGCGGTCCAAGAGCAAGTCTTATCCGACATTATTCCGATGATATCCCGGATGTCAGTCTTTGCGAGATTATAATGGCTCTCCAGCACCTTAAAAACGGCAATTTCCCGGGCGAGCATGGAATTACAGCAGAGCTTCTGAAAGCGAGTGGAAAACAGGTACTTAAAATCCTTCAGAAGCTCTTTAATTCCGTCCTCCATGGTGACACTACTTCCGAGGCATGGAGCAGAAGTACGATGGTCTTGTTCTTCAAGAAAGGTGACAAAAGGTATATCAAAGTGCTGAAGTGTTTGCACAGTAGGGCTACGATGGTTACCCGAGTACAGAACCAGAGTACGAAACCTATCCAACTACAGAGAGGTGTAAGACAGGGTGACGTTATATCCCCGAAACTCTTTACCGATGCATTGGAAGACGTTTTCAAGCTACTGGACTGGAAATAATACGGCATTAATATCAATGGCGAGTACATCACTCACCTTCGATTTGCTGACGATATAGTCCTTATAGCAGAATCGCTGGAGAACCAAGCACTATGCTCAATGACCTCAATAGTGTCTTCCAACGGATAAGTCTTAAGATGAACTTAGACAAAACAAAGATCATGTTTAATGTCAATGTCACACATATGCCGGTAGTTGTTGGGAGCGCTAAGCTCGAAGTTGTTGACGAGTACGTTTAGCTGGGACAAGTAGTCCGACTAGGTAAGTCCAACTTCGACCGAGAGGTCAATGGACGGATTCAACTCGGTTGGACAGCGTTCGCGAAATCACGACACATCTTCTCGTCAGGTATATCTCAAAACCCGAAAACTAAGTTGTACAACCACTGCGTGTTGCCAGTGACGATCTATGGAACTAAGACGTGGTCCTTCACGGCTGGCCGTATGAGGATTTAACACTTGACAGAGAGTATAGACAGTAGAATATGCGACACTAGTCTTACGTCCTTGTCGCACTTACACAAAATTCTGTATGCTATCCAGCTTTCACCATGCTTTCACAGTAATATAGCGTTTTTCCATGTTTTACGCATTTTGAGGTTATAATAGTTTTTATTTATTTTTTCGATAACGGTGCGTTACCTTATTATTATCGGGGACTAAAACCTCTACCAAATAAAACACCTTACTCCCCCAAATTCCTGCCAAACGCCAATCCAATACATGGCACGTTTTATTCAAAAACCTTTCCATGTAAAAATGAGCGTTATAGGTACATAACAAAATAATTAATGTAAAGTGTAAAGCATGAAGGTTAGGTTTAAAGTGTTCAATTCAC